TCAAGGACAAGCATTGTGAGCAGTGATGGACCTAGCATAATTTACGATTAGGATATATAGATATTTATGGATATAGGCCCCTTTCTCCACGATGTGGGCGATGTTGAGTATAACCTTATTAATAGACACTTTTTTAGATCCCTTTCCCAATTCAATTAATTAAAAAAAATTATGCATTCAATCATGAAATTATTTATTCAGTTAAATTACATTGCGGGTAGCACGGATCCTCTGCGATCCATCTTTATTGGTGGACTTCAGCGGTATTACATAAAGACTGTGTTGTAACGAGATGTCATTTCACCTACTGTCCCCAATTAATTGGGTAATCTGCCTTTTTCAATTCAAACCTAGGTGAGCATATCCACCATCCGGTAAGAGGCACCTCAGTGTACGATCTCGCACTATCTATTGTTTGGGCGGTTGAACAATTATGAAAGATGCTTCGATTTACCATAACCAGGTTCATCTCGTAAAACAATAGTGAACTCGAACAAGCGCACCAGTTCAGTGAGTGAATCATCAATTCAATCAAATCGAATTTTATTTGTCTCGTGGTTGTTATCATGTCGCTATAAGGCCCAACGAACACATACTAATGAACTTGCGGCCACAAAGTGGGAGAGTGGAGCTTGAGTGGGAGACCCAAATAAAAACGCAAAATAGATGAAAGAAAACATTCACAAACCCAAAGTTGTCGTTTTTTCTGGGTCATCGTTACAACCAAAATTACCGACTCATGTCAACTGAGCCACCATGAACTCTGATATCACCATCCGCCAAAAATGCAACCTGGATCGGGTTGAGGAGTTGGAACTGGATTAGATCAAGCCCGATCACCAAGAAAGCACAAAAAAGAAAGTGGCTCAGGAGCTCGTTCATGCACATCAACTGGTGCGTCACAGACACTCGGTTGTATGTTAGAGCTGCATGAGACAAACTGGGGTGGGAGGTGGTAGAGTGTCACGACACCTCAAAACTCTATGACAATTTCACTAGACCGTTGGAGCCCGGGGACACGGTCCGTGTATAGGTAGAGGAACTCAAGAGCAGGACTAGAACCCTCGTAAAAGTAGAAGCGGGGCCGAATTTTTGGATAAATGTGGAAATGCATAAGCGAAGCTGAGTAATGCTCTCAATATTTTTCTTTTCTGTGTTGAATTATGAGGTCCCCGACCTGGATTGAATTTTTTATTTATTTATTTATTTTTATTTTTTTGAACAAACAGTCCCACCTGTGCAAGTGATGCTATTATGAGCAGACATCGCTAGCACCTAGGGAGAGTCTTCATCTATTGGTGGGGAGCAACACCTGCTGCAAAACGGGTCCAACGTCCCTTAGGCAGTAAGATACAATATGATACATAGAGAAGTAACAGGATGGTGTATGGAGGGCGCCTACCAGCATTGATTGCTCTGGAGTTCAAAGGATTGACTGAGCAGGTGTGAGTATGACCTGACCAATGAGTCTGAAAATCAGGTGGTCCCTATCTCCTTCTTCTACCTTTTGTCTGGACAGGGATCAGGGGGAAGCCACTGGGGGGCACCAGTGGGGCCTCCTCCCGTCACCTTGCCCATCCCCCAAAATAGTTCATCCCCCAAAAAGTCCCCTTGCTTCGATACTGTCCTCTGCCGGGTGTACCCAACTGCCATCCGCCCTCGCTGCGTCAGAATTATAGTTACAAAACAGAATAAGATAGGGAATTGAAAGAGAGTTTGAAAATTTTGCAGACTGAAGCGGTTCTGAAAATCTGTAGTTTTCACTGGGCAGGGGTTTACAGACGTATTTCCAGAGACCTTGGGGGGGGGGGGAAACGGGTCTGGAAAATCCTCTGCAGGTCTCATGGGGATACTTGAATATATCGACAACCACTCCTTGAATCTCAGGCGGTAGTCCCTTGGGACTTCCTCTCCTTGGCTGCCCTCCTTTCCCTCCTCTCCTTCCCAATCCCCTGTCCAGCATACTTAAGCTACCCATCCCTCCCAGTCCCCACCCAACCATTCCCTAAAGAACTGTAATAACCGTTCCCGGATGTCTTTTGATCTATGAAAATTATCAAGTGATTGCTTAGTTGTCCTCCACTTATGCGAGAGTTCCAGTTGGAAGTGCGTTTTGAGTTGCTCAATCCTTTCTTCTCCCTCGTCTCGAACCTAGTCTAAAGTTAAGACACAGCGCTGCCACCACATGACCCACATGATCGTTTTTTGGGACAAATGAAACATATTCGATACAAAGGTGTTGTCTTGGAAGGGTGGGTAGTGGCCCATTAGGATGGCACGCCAATCCCACGACCATGGATATCCCGGAACCATTTTTTGCCACACCCTATCCCACCATCTCAAGGTCAAAGTTGTTGTCGGGCATTGCAAAAATATGTGCTCAATTGTCTCTGCTCTCTTTCTAGCCGGGAAACCCAACAGGCATCGGGAGCACCAAGGTAGCGCACAACCTTGTTGTTCCAACCGCCAGTGATCAATCAGCCAGTCGTTTGTGGGTAAGCACCGATGCAAGATTTGCCACTGTAAGGATGTAATTTTCGCACGTCTACACTTGGTATCGCGGAACCATCGTATCGGTGTGAGAAAATGTCTCTCCACATTGAGGTGCTTCTGCCATCTGTCGATCACTATGTATTTTAGGCAACGCTTAACTCTGAGCATTCTATAAGTCGTTTTCACCGAGAGACCTGACAACGTTTTTAGTTTTGGTTGTCGTGGGTTATACCGTATGTCGGGGTTTCAGACCCACTCCAACGGGTCTATTGGGAGATCTTCTATGGCTATCTCAGGGAGAAAGGGCCGCCGGTTGTCTCCTTCCTCGATTACCCTGATTTTGTGTAGGTCCTCCTTCAAAGTCCATTGGAAGGGGTCCCGACTCCCCTCCAGTCCTCCGTTTACTTTTGTACTGTACCACTCGATCAACACATCGTCCGGTCAAACTAGATGAACCAGGCGTACCTTATCGACCCTCCCTTCCCTGGATACCCAATCTCCTTCCTTCAGCACCGGACCTCTGCGAAAAATGGACCACCAGCCGACTGGGAGGGCCTCCGTTATTTCTTCAAGGGCTGACTCAGCATTGTGGCAGTACCTCCCTCATCTTCGCCGGACCCTTTCAATCCTTCCTCTCCCTATCCCAAAGGTCGCCCACTTGAATCACACCATTTTTCACCCAACCTTTCCATGGGGTGTCAATGCTGCAAAAGATTTGACTTCGTTCGTTGGTGATCCAATGGTTTCTGAAGAGGGGTTGTCTTGCCACCTACGCGAGAGTCACAAAAACGAGTTATAACTACACTATGGGCCAAGATACAGTTTGCAATTGCACTTCGGGCACCCTAGCTGGCCAGAAAGCTGCGTTGTATACATTATCGGAAGTGCAATTGCAAACTGTATTTTGGCCCATACTGCAATTATAGCTCATTTTTGTGACTCCCGCGTAGTTTCCCCAAAAAGAAGCTTTTTTTTTTTTTTGAAATTTTTTTATATGCCCTTGAAAATTCCATTTATTTGCAACGTGGCCCTCTGACGGTCGACTTACCCTGTCGCGCCCCTCTGACAAAAATTGAAGTTTCTTCAAAACCCCTGGTGTTGTTTGAGCCTGAAATATTTTCAATATGCCCCTACTGGTACCGGTTTCAAATTTCCAGTATGCCCCGGTAGATCCCCTCCCAAGGCCAGGGGAACAGCCGCGAGTGCCACCAACAGCCACAGGGGCATGCTGGAAAGTTGCGCCCCTCACTGACAGGGGCCTGCAGGAAAGTTCAGAGGCCCCAGGGGCACAACAGAGTAAGTTGGCTGTCGAAGGGGCACACCGCAAATGAATCGAACTTTCAGGGGCAATTTCCCTTTTTTATTCATTCTAAAAAGCTACACACTACATTCTTCTCTCATTTTCTTTTTGACTTGTGTTACCTACCTACCATTACTCCTAAGGCTATATAGAGGGGACCTCAACTACCTCACAATGAAGGGATTGCATGTTGCCCCCCGCCCCAACAGCGGTACTCAGAGATGGGGTGTTTTTTTTTCGGAAAACTCGAATACAAGGCTTATGCGTTATGTTCGGGTGACCATGGTAGGGCTGGGAACTACACCCTTGTTCTACCACGTTTCAGGAACAGAGATGCTTCGGCTCAGACCATTCCCACTTTCCTGGCTGGCTGTTTTCAGTGTGGCCACAACAAGTTTGCGTAGTAACCTGCTTAGGAATTGGACTACTTGTTCTACCACGTTTCAGGAACAGAGATGCTTCGGCTCAGACCATTCCCACTTTCCTGGCTGGCTGTTTTCAGTGAGGCCACAACAAGTTTGCGTAGTAACCTGCTTAGGAATTGGACTACGAGTAGTGTGGCTGCACTTGTGAGTACGGCTGCTCCGTTTGTTCGTAACTGTTATAACTGTGAGTTACCAGGGGCAAGATACCACTTGTGCAAATGGGACCTTGTTCGTGCAAGTGGGACCTTGTTCGTGTGAGATTTCGGCCGTCGATCTTTGCTATCTACGGTCAGTATCTCTTAATTCGTGCAAGTGGGAACTAGCCTCAGGGCATCTGGTTCCCCTGTTGTCTGTTCAGCAAAGGAGCTTGCTATGCTATAAGCAATTACCACAACAAGATCAGGCAAAGGCCTGTCTGGTTGGCCCTGGGCCACAAATGGCCGAGTGGAATCAGCCCCCATAGATATAGCCTCAGCAGGACAGGAGCTACCCGTCAGGGCCTCCCGAGCATATACATGACACCGGTCAAGCTGGCCCTGACCCGGAGGGGCAGGCCCCAGTGGTGCTTCTGGTGCTTTCGCAGGAAAAAAAGCCAAGCACCAGTCGGGCGTACACGTTAGGTACTCATCTGGCGATTGTTACGTCCCTATTCTTGCTTGCGTTGCACCACGCCGGGCCTGACCGTCGCTGCCCTGGGGTCAGCTCAGCGGCTGTAGTTATTTTTTCCTTCCGCATCGAAAACGAGCCGTATAGGTGCTGATCGGGCAGTTCTCAGGTTATAATCGGACGGTCAAGGAAGGTATGCCATAGCGTACGCTGTCAACCAGCAGTTTGGTAAGCCGCTCTGCGGCGGTGCTTTGTGGTCGGGTCCCGTTGAGCCTCGGCTTGACAGGGCAGGGAATGTGTGGTCGCTCGCACCAAAGAGCGGTGGGGAACGTGGGAGGTCTGGGCGGTGTACTGTCGGCCAGCTGTCCAATCTGATGCGGAGAGAGTGGTCGGAAGCGCACTCGTTCCAGTGATCGCTCCTCGACGGCTCGGTGATCGCCACGTCATCCCCACGAGCGCTCACGTACGTCACCTCCTCTATACGCCGTACGGCATTGATTGAGGTACGGATGCTTCTCCTCTTCATCAACTTGCTTGTGGTTCGCGCTCCTCTCGCGGGCTCCTACTGAGGCAGCCGAGACCCGTGTGTGTGTGTGTGTGTGTGCGTGTGTGCGTGTGTGCGTGTGTGCGTGTGTTTGTGTGTGTGTGTGTGTGTGTTTGTGTGTGTGTGTGTGTGTGTGTGTGTGTGTGTGTGTGTGTGTG